CTTAAAACATTACAGGATTGAGTCTACCAGGAGAAAATACTTCCAACTACAGATTTTGTTTCTTGGCAATATCCAATATGATGTGGATAGCATCATAACAATGATAATCATATTTTAACCAGTTCTGTCTAATACAACATCAATAACTATGAGCCAGAGAAAATTAAAGTATTTAATTATGTGATTAATCTTTCTTTAAACACCAAATAATTCTATCTCCTCTGTTAGCAGAAATGTTGCTACACTTTTATCAGTAGCTGCATCTGTGAACTGCATTTGTTCTCCAAGCTGAAATAATCTATACAAAACCCTTCAACTCTCTCCTTACTCTAAATCCCCATAAAAATGCTTTGTGGCTCAAGAGAGTTTTGTAAAGGATGGAAGTTGGAATATACTTCTACTGAATCAGGCACACAGCAAGAGAGAAATTACGGATGAAATTGGAAATTACATCTTCAGATTATCACTTAAAAAAATAGAACAAGAGTTTAATACAGGACAGTAGTTATAATTAATACACATGAAACATTTCAGAGGAAGCTTAATATCTTTACACTGGAAGAGTCTGATATCAGATGTGGAATAACAGACAGAAGTACCTATCGTAAAGCAAATCTGTGCAAAATAATAATAACAGCAACAATAATTACTGACATTAATGTAAAATTAATGTAATAAATGAAACATGTAAGGTGCTTTGAAATAACTTTTTTTTTTTAATTGATAGTGTTCTTATCATGCCCTACAACAGTGATTTCCGAAGCACTTTATATTCACATTTTATCTTTGAGAGAAAGATGCAGTTCCTGAAATAAGTACAAGAGTTTTGTAGTTACTCATTTCATCACCTGTAGATTACAGATTCAGTAGGCCAAGCTGCAGAAGAATTAAGTCAGGAGCTTTACAAAACAGCTTGAAAACCTGAAATACTTAAGAATAATTACCAAAAAAAATAAAATTTGAAAAGTGAAGATAATTGCTTTTAAAAGTTTGTATGAAAAATAATGAAAATATCAGTTTATATGTGATGCAGCAACTACAGACATAAAAATACAGAGCACAATGTATATCATACGCTCCACTCAGGAATTACAGAACTGCTTTTTTGATTAATTACAGTTATCTACTGTTTCAACTTTAGACAACTTTTGAAGCTTCTAAGCACATTAGCCAAGAAAAGATCTGCAGTACACAGAGATATGCAGATCAAAGTTAACTATGATGAGCTATCTAGTTTTGGAAGGGCTTCAAGGTGTTATCCAGATAAGCCTGAAAAGTCAGTACACCTGTTTGAACCTACACCAAACTCTTCTGATTACATCATCTGTAACACAGGCAGATTTTCATTCTCTGGACAATTCAAGAAGGTCTTCATTTACTGTTACTACAGGTTTCTCATTTTGTCACACCTTCAGAAGTCCTACATTTAATAAACATAATATTGTCTTTTGTCAGCTGTCCAGTCTTTTCTAAACTCGGGAAAATTCTGTAAATGGACCCTAAGGAAAGACAGTAGACAGTTCAGGAATTGTGGGTAATATTTAGAATCTTGTGATAAAATGGGCAGATTATCACCCAAGAGGTGATCCTCACTTCTTTAATTTATGCTCCCTAAAAAAAAAGGTGGAATATTTTTCCATTTTTCCTTTTTTCCCTTTTGTTTCCTTTCCCAGTATGTTCCCTAAATCTCAGCTTAGTCACTAAATACTTCTCTAAAGTGAATACATTCTAAGTTATGATGCAAGGTTCCCTGCATGTGTTTTCAGACTGGACCAGTAACAGAATACATTTTAAACGGTTCCTTGACCTCCTACAAAAATACACAATTCTGAAATTTAATGAGAAGTCTCATCATACAGTTTTGTACCACTATTATTTTACACATAAACAATGCACACAGAACCAGCCCCTTTAGAAACCATGCATTATTTAAATGCATATCTCTGTATTATGCAGCAAATCTCAAAAAAGGAAAATTTTTGAGTAAAATCATACATTAAATCAGAGCATTGTGTATCCTAGATATATCTACAATTTCAGATCTCTGTTACTTGAAGAGCATTAAATAGCACATAATTGTTTGTGTGATCACTTATACTCTTTTGTAGGCAGGAAAGAAACTTAGTTATTATACTCAGATTATTAAATCAATCAGGAAGTTTAAAAAGAAGAATTTGTTACAAAAAAGAGAGAGAAAGGGAGGGTAGGGAAAGCACTTAACAATCTGGTACTTTGATTTTTTTCTGCTTAGAGATGTATCCTAACAGGAAATTCAAACTTCATAAACTTCTCAAATAAAAAGTCATCTTAGGACCACAAAGATGATGAAGGGATTGGAGCACCTGACATATGAAGAGGGGCTGAGTAAGCTGGGGCTGTTCAACCTATAAAAGCCTGCTCTGTGTGACCCTACTTTGACCAAGGCAGGCTGGACTACCTCTCCAGTGACGCCTGCAAACCTCAACCATTCTGTGGTTCTATGAATATACAGTAAAAATATGGAGGGAAAAGCTCACATGCGTCAAGAATTTTCGAGTATCAACTACTGTGGTATATAACATATAACAACGGCACCTAAATCATCTATTGCAGTTAAGTAGTTCTTTCTTGGTAGTTCTATTACAGTAGTTTTGGTACTTATTTGCAATGTACATGCAAAAATGTTCATTGATTTGAACTCATCAGATTGTAAGCCTATTTTTATACATGACTGTCTATAAAATGCTGTGATGACTATCATGTAGCTGTGATGCTCCTTATCTTTGTTGAGCCATACTCCACGGAACACTCTACACTACAGTTTGCTTCTTTCACTGTCAGTGTTTGCGTTTTTTGTACTGTTTGACACTCAGGACCACCACAATGGGAAAAAGTCATGCTCACCCATTCCATTGTGGTAAGCCACATAATGTGAAAACAGTTCAAACTTGATAATGATTTTATTTAAATCTTTCCTCTTTTGCGAGAGACTCACAAAGCACTGCCATCCTGAAAGGATTAGATGAATGGTAAACTTATATATGCCTATTTTCTTTAGTTTTGAATTATTTTCTTCCCTTTTTTTATCATCATTTAAAAAAGTTCTACATCTGGTTTTGTGGGTTGATACTCTAAGAAATTGTAGCTGTGCTTTTAGTACCATATATTTTTATCATTAACTTGTTATGATCAGCTTTAAAGGACTAGAGAGTAATTGGATACTTTAGGTATTAGTTGTGGTTTTAGGCTGCTTTCTTAGAATAAAAAAAAAAAAAAAAAGCCCCCAGAATACATATCAAGAGGTGATCTGTTCTTATACATTAACTGTAACACAAAACCCCAAACGATACAGTTGACAAGGGTTTTTTTTCCTGTCACCCTCTTTTTGGCCTGCTTATTTGTCTCTGACTTCTTTGATGTGATCTCCTTTCTACTTTTCCTAAGTATTTTTTTATTTGATATTCTTCTGCTTTACTTTTCCAAAATAATTTCCCTTTCCTTCTTTCTCTCATAAACACAAATGCTCTGCCCTATAAAAACTTTTGTTCTTTCCCCACACAGACCCTACCTATTATTCTCACATTGCACCCACTGTGCACCAACTCTACTTCTTTTACTAGATTTTATCCTGTAAATCCTATTGTGTAAAGTATTTTAATCCTGATTTTTTTTTTTCCCCCTGGTACACCTGCCCAGACTACCCTGTGCGTTCTGCTTGCCTAACAATCTCTCATGCTTGCCTACACTCTCAGTCTTACCTCTCCTTCCCTCTGCTTACAACTGTCTATTTACAAGCTTAGCTGTCTGACTTCATTTTGTCACTCCTCTTGATCTTAGCCTTTTGAAAAACTGTATTTCTAATGAAATATTTCTGGCTATGTGTCTATCTTACTACGTAAAGGAGCTCTTGAGCCCTAAGGCCAAGAGTTATGGCCCCACTTTTGTCTACAGAGCTAAACTCTCTTCACTTTCCTCCCTCTTCCAGACACAACATTTGCATCCAAACTGCCAACAATTTCTGTCATGTGATATTTCCTGAACTTCTTCTTGGAGAATGCTAGTCATCTATGACTATAAACCAAAACCATGCCAAGGATTATGCTTAATACTTAAACAGACATATGATCATGGGCACGTACTCAAACACCCACCCATCTATCTGATCTCCAAGACCCTGTAATTTTCCACTATGTTTCAATCTGTCTAGTTTATTATCTTTCCTTTGCCTTAGAGAAAATCAGTGTTAAAGACTGCAATGCGCCAACAAGTGGGGAACGACTGGGGAAGAAGTGGAAGCTCAGGTGAGCTTTGCTGAAGCAAGTGGAAGAATTTAACTCATCTGTAACATGAAGAGAGAGAATGTGGCACCATCATCAATAGATTGACTGTTGGGTGACTCCATCTTCAGGCAGCTCTGTTCATATCTTTTGTCCAGCACAGCCTTTCTTACATTAACTATGTCTAAGAGCAAGTCACTGCTAGGAGGTGTTACAGTAGCTTTCAAAAGAAAATAGTAGCTTGAGAAACAGGTTGTTACAGGACTTGACATTAGTATAAGGACTCAGGAGAGGTATCAAAAATAGAATTTCAGAATGAAAAATTACAGAAGAGGTGTGTGCATCATGGAATTATTTTAACTAACTCAGTTTCTTCAGGCAACCACATTCATGATGACATTACCTAATCAAGCAAACCAGCAAAAATCAGATCTATTAACAATGAATAGGGAGATTATTGTCTTATGATAGGTAATTCATGCTCTGAAAGGTTTTTTGTTTATAAAGAAAAAGAACAGGGGAAAAAATTATAAAATATTATTTGCTGTTATTCGTATTTTAAAGTACTGAGCTGCCACAATTTCCATTACATACAGTGCATTTATATAGCAGTGATATTACATTATGGAAACTCCTTTGTGATTATTTGGGTGCTGGTTTCCTAGCCTGTTAATTTATTAACAAGTGGATATAAGCCATGAATTCAAAAGATTGCCCGTGTGAAGGTGTTTCTAGTGATCCTACCTGTTGGCGGGATGATTCCAGGAGACATTAGGCCTGGGACAGAATGTGGCATGATATGAGAATTCTCTGGGGAGGTGACACTTTGAGTCCTCTTAGGAGGCCTTCCAGGTCTAGAACTGAAACAAACAAACAAAAAAATTTTTACAATTAAGCTGTTGTCTTACACATCATTTCAAAGTTGTTTCAAGTGGTAACATGGACTGTAAATAAATTTGTTTCAAGGACGGTTGCTTTTGCAGTTAGATGTAATAGACTTCCATCACTAATTAGATTACATGCTGAATTCATTTTCCTCATTGAAGATCAGCCACTCTTGATGCATAATTCATAGCCTGCACCTCGTTACCTGCTTCTTCATATTAATATCTATACACAGTTTGAATTGCCTCGTTTGCATATGCTAAAGTTCTGCATGCAGCCTTCAGCACGAAAATTATGCACTAACTTGTAATAATTATTACAGTCAGCCTGCTATTGATTTATGAGACTTTTAAAAACCAAATATGTGTAGTACTTGTAATGAATGATATTTTAAGGTTCTTCAGGAAATTAAAAGGCAATGGCTGCCTAAGGAAATGTTCTGCTTGTTTGATTTAATACTACAGTTAGCTGGGAGGTGGAATGAAAGAGTGATTCAGACCTATAGCACATTTTTCGATGATATGTTTTATTACTTCGCACTGCTAGCCTGATATCTAGATGATAAATGACAATACATATCTAATGTGTGAAAAGGTCTTGCAATTTCTTTATTTTTTGTCATTTAAAAGATAAGTCAAGTTATCATTTAACCCTTATTCTATTTAAAGTGAAAATCTCACTAAGACACCTTACTTTAAATATACTACTTTATGTCAGAAAGCACTCAGAAGTATTTGTGAGATATTGTTGAGCAACTGCCATCATAGCAGCTTACATCTCTCCAGTCTGGAAAAATGAAGGGCTTCAGGTTTAAGCGCTCCTTGTCTGTTAAATGCTCACATACACAACTTTCCATCTCCTGGACCATGTAAGTAGCATACAAATTAGATACAGAATACAATGAAAATACTTATTACCCACTTACATGCAAATATGTACCTGCTACATACAATGCATATCCAAAGACTTGTATTCTTATGTACAGATCATAGCACAGTACTGTTGCAATATCCTATAACTGCTTATTTAGGGGACGTTGTGAAATAACATCCCAGAAAAAGGTGATGTGCAGTTCTAGCACTGCAGTGTTAACCTACGATTTGCCAAAAATTTGAGGTTCTTCATTTGTTTCAAAACAAGAAAGAAAAGAAAGGTCACTATGAAAGGTTTTGCTCCTTAGGTCCTCACACTAACAAAATTCTAATCAAGAATAATGGCATTTTTAGCTATGCTGGGACTGCAGAAGGAGGCAGAAAATAAACCACCTCTATTTTCTATTCATATTCGTTCCCCTTGAGTTTGAAAATACCTTTTTTTCTGCAACTTCTACAACCTGCCTTCAATAAACTAAAAACAATCAAAGTACAGGGCATTTTCTTGGAGTTTAATGACTCAAGGCATTGAGCCATTAACCTTAACTGATCATTAATTCCCAACTTAATGTCCTGAGCTGAGGTCATTATTAAAATTATAAACTTGATAATTTCATTGATTGGTTTGGGATTTTTGATTTTCTTTAATACAAAATTGTCATATGTTCATAACTACAAGAAAAACAGTTGTAGAAAAATAATATTGTCTTATTCCAACTCACAGAACCAAATTAAGTGTCTCACATTTTTTTTTGAAATTTCATTTGTGATTTACAATAAAAATAAACATACCATGAATACACATAAAACTGATAAAAACATTATAGACAAAAATGATCTGATTTAAATGGAGTGTTTCTAATATATTCACCCACCAAAGAAATGCCACTTTGTAAGGAATTTTAACAGCTCAATTTAAATACCTATGATGATGTACTGTTCTCAAATCACTGTTGTGATATGAGTATGGAAGGGTCTGACAACAGCATAAAAAAACACAAGTAGGGTGCTATGGCTTAATACACAACCTACCAATGACTTTCAAGTCTTTAAACAAACAGGTTCACACCAGCAAAGCCTCTCCTTGATGCTTACTACCAAATATAGCCATGGTGAAGTCTGAATGCTTTCGTCTTTGATTTTGAGTAATACAACTACCCCTCTTCAAAGCCTAAGAGAAGGCACCCATCGGCAAAATCTATAAACGAAGGTCAGCAGCGAATTATAGGTGAGTGATATTGAAATATCCAAAGCAAAACTCTTCCTCTGGTTACCTTCTACAAACAAATTGATTGCACTACCCTATACAAAAGGGCTGTCACAGTCTAAGCCATAAATGAGTTCAGTAACCCAACACTACCCCATGATTTATCACCAAATAAGTGTTTTCATTAAGTCCTAAACTCCCAATTCCAATCAAACTAACAATATTTAAATGAAATTTCTGAGAAGTAAACCACTTTTATCCTGATATAACTTTCAAGTGACAAAGCACCAACCCCAGTGTACTGTAAAAAGGCCTTTATCTATTTAACAAACATTTATTCCTTATGACAAGGCAGAAAATCCCATGTAAGAATTATTTCTTAAGGTCTGGAAGATCTGATTTAGAGTCACGGTAGAATATGCAATACACAATTAAAATGAGTAAATCTCTGAGTGGTTGAAATAAGCACGCACTGTCCCAAATAACTGATTAATTAATAATTATTGTCTTATTTTATTATTTATATTATGTACTTGTTTCATTAACCAAAATCCTAACTCGTAATACTACTATTGTTCTATAGTTTTCAAGATATAAGAATTGCAATAATTTTGTAGTAATCATTCCCAGAGTTGTGGAAAAAACAGTATATAAAAATTAATTTTGAAAAATAGTCATTATGATTCTATTTGAAAACTCTCGTGTTGTTTTGCAGTTCATTATCATTTTTATAGCTATATGAACTCTTTAAAAAAAAATTTAAAAGCATAGCAAATGAGCCTAAGTATCACAAACAGAATAATAAAAATACCTTAATGAATTATCTTGTTGGTATTTTTCCTAAACTTGTGTATAGTAAAGACCTACTTATTTTTACCTTAGGACAAGTTCACTTTCATTCCAGGATAATATGCCTGCTTCATGGTACTCACATTCCTGTTCTGTATCAAAATCAGTACATTTTTCTTCAGTGTGAAAATAAAATGTAAATTCAATAGTTATGAGTTGATTTGTTATGCAAAAGATATATTTAATCACAGAGCAATGCACGTTATTCTTGTAGCTGATGTCATGGAGATACAAAAATCATAGAATCATAGAATTATAGAATGGTTTGGGTTGGAAGCAACCTCGAAGATCATCTAGTTCCAATTCCCCCGCTATTGGCAAGGACACCTTCCATACTGACCGGGTTGCTCAAAGTCCCATCCAACCTGGCCTTGAACACTTCCAAGGAGGAGACATCCACAGCCACTCTGGGCAACCTGATCCAGTGCCTCACCACCCTCATAGTAAAGAATCTTTTCCTTATATCTAGTCTAAATCTACCCTCTTTCAGTTTAAAACCATTACTCCTCGTCCTATCTCTTCACTCCCTGATAAAAAGTCCCTCTCCATCTTTCCTGTAGGCCCCCTCTAAGTACTGGAAGGCTACTATAAGGTCTCCCCGGAGCCTTCTCTTCTCTAGACTAAACAACCTTAACCCTCTCAGCCTGTCCTCATGAGGGAGGTGCTCCAGCCCCCTGATCCTTTTCATGGCCCTCCTCTGGACCCGATCGAGTAAGTCCATGTCCTTCTTATTTTGGGGTCCCAGAGCTGGACAAAGTACTGCAGGGGGGATCTCACGAGAGAGGAGTAGAGGGGTAGAATCACCTCCATTGACCTGCTAACTACACTTCTCTTGATGCAGCCCAAGACATGGTTTTTAAATCATCATTTCTAAACTGTTGATAATACTCTTTTTATTTAAATTTAGATTTTATAGATAAGCTTTTATAGGGATACAAGAGATATTTTAAGATTTTTTTCTTTTATGTGCATAAAATCATTGGAAGAACACTGGTCTTCTGAAGACACATTTGACTTCTTAAGGTAATGTTAATTATTTCAATGAATAAACTACTCGAAGCTGACGCATTTTGATTTTGAGGATGACTACAGTTTAGATTTCTTAGAGTTAACATAAACAGGTTGAAGTGCCAAAACCCAAAAAGCCAACATAAGTCTTGTGAATACCTAGGGTCATAGTACAGACAAGTCAAGGATTCTGTTGGAACTCCACAAGAAGACACTAGAAGAAGCAGACCTACATCTGGAAGTCATGGCTGGTCCTCCTCTCTGCTGTTTCATTCTCTGAAGACTATATTAGAGAGAGCAGAAATTAGAGAACTTCAGCAAGATTCAAGGAAGCCAGAATGATTAACTGTTTTAAAGACCTGAGGAGAACTCAAAGGAAACATACCAATTCCTTATTTACCCATTTAAAAGGATATGTAATAGAAACACAGAATCACAGACTGGAACATTGTCACTCTTTCAGCTTTTAGAATTATAAATATGTACATTAGATTTTTTACCCTCTAAAACCGCATATTTCATGTGTGAAATAATGTGTTGAAGAAAATGAAAGCTTCCTGTAGGACCACATATTACTGAATTAGTACTCAGTTTTTAAGCACCTAAATGCATTTACTTCCCTCAAAACCTGTCTGCCTTATATAGGTTTCAAAATTTGCAGACTCTTTTCAGGGCTTAGAAGACATTCCCACAGACTCAGTTATATATTTGCAGACATTTATCACAATCTACAATTACAATACACCATTATGTGACAGGTGAATTAAAGGTGCAGACTGGTGAACCTTGAAACTCTCAAAAAGGGAGGGAAATATCTTCTTCATCACCATCAGCTAATTAGATATGTAGAACACTTTTCAGAACCACCAAAAATAAATCCACCAATTTTTGATCAGATTCATATTTCATCCCTTTAACTTCCATAAATAATTCAAGCAATACTATGTCTCTAGTATTTTCATCTTTGAAGGAAAGGGTGTATATGTCTTCTGCACTGTGACTGGCATGAAAGGTACAAAGCATGAGAAGCAATTGAGAC